GGGTGATGCCATTATCAGTGGCTTTGCCAAGAGACGCGGTAGTGAAACCCCTACCGGTTGCACCGGCTTCGCCGACAGTGATTGTGGTAGCCCCCAGTCCTATGACTCCACCAGAGAAGACTTCACCAACATCTCCAGAGGGTTTGATGCTTCATGACTTTTCCACTCCTCGGCCACCTCAAGACATGGGCTCCCAGTCTAGCCTGGGCACTACTGCGTCCAAAGTCCCTCCGGCTTCTGATACTTTCAGCTATTTAGAGTCTGTTAGTCTCATGTCAGGCACGTTTGAATCGCTGACTGGTGCTGGATTCCTTGACGATGCTAGCTCTCTGGGGTCCGATTCTGAAATCAATGGACTTGCCTATCGTAAGACTGATAAATACGGCTTCCTAGGGGGCACCCAGTATTCCATTACACTGTAAGTATTGGCACCCCTGTGATGGCCTTTCTATGCTGAGGAAAAGAAATTCTTTATCTCAGTGAAACTAGTCCTGCTGATAGGCATCCCTCTCACTTGGACTAGAGTGCTGATAATGGAGAGCTTCACATTTCTGCCCTATGGGCCACCAGCTCTTATCCTGGTGAAAGTGAACTCAGGAGAAATAATTGTGTCTTAGGTACTGTCCCGATTACGCGGCCACGATGTTAAACCGTATCAGTGATCCATTATTGATCAGGTTTCTTAAATGACTTTTTTTCTAGTTTGAGACTGGGATACTTCCTGCCTAAGCAAGGAATTGGACTAGAACAGGGGTCTCCAACCTTGGCAATTTTAAGACTTGTGGAGCTGGCTGAGGAATCAATCTGAGAATTGAAGTCCACAAGTCTTAAAGTTGCCAAGGTTGGCGATCCTTGGACTAGAAGACCTACAAGGTCACTTCCAACTCTGTTATACTTTTACCTAATACAATTTTCTGCAAAGATATAATACCGCTTCATTTTTTCTGATTAGCATTCAGGAAGGAATGCTTTTTTTTTTGTTGGTTTTCATTAAATAAACTTCCTTTTCTTCTGATCATTCTGTATTTGGCATGCATCAAATTCAAAGGGCAACTAACAAATTACATTTACTTCCTCTAAAGAAATGGACAATACACTTCACTTTTTTATGGGAGGGAAGGTCCATAAATCTGAGTAGCTTGGGCCAGTAAAGTAGACAATTGGACTATCTCAAGTTCCTTTTCCTTAAAACACTTAAATATCACATTGCAACATTGGTTCTCTGGTCTGCCAAATGAATCATTTCTCCACTCCATATATAGCTAAAATGTATTTCTATCCTCTTTTCCATAACTATATTTTTCCTTTTCAGTTTGCATTGCTCTTCCCTTTGGTGTGAAATTAGAGTCGTGTCCCTCGGGGTGTGGCTTCATACACCTTTTCATTGTGATAGAGTGGCTGTATTTCTTGACTTGGCCCATACGTGTGATGCATTTTTTTGTTTTTGAGCACCAGTAATGTGGCTCCTGACAATCTTTCTGTGGTTTCTTGTTGATTTGAATAGTAGTCATAAAAATCATTCCACATACTGTTCTCTTGAAATCATCCCTATTGCAGTAACTGCATACTTTTGTAATGATGCAAAAAGAAAAGCAGTAAAAAAATTCCTGGTTCAGGAATTTGACTGGTCAAAACTTCAAAAAGGTGAAGTCTTCTTAAAGATTGAGTCTGATAACTTTAACTGATATCTATAGACATTATAGATAATTTTCATGGCAATT